TTTGCATCTTACGATTCTATCAGGCATTATTGAACTATAAAAAATGTCATTTACACACTTCTTAACAGATTATGAAAGAAAAATGACTAAAACTTGTTCAGACTGTCAAGTACTTGCCAAACTGAAGCTAATGAATCACCCTGGCACTGGTAAATAGCCAAACACAGATGATATGGAGGTTATAAATAGTGTTAGGGACCGTGTTGCCAAATATATGTGTACACCCCCTCCCATTAAAGTACTGTTGTATTGTTTTATTTCCATGAAGTTTTTAATGAAATCCTAACCGGCATAGTAGTATCACACTCCTGATTTTATTTCAATTTTTATTTTAACAAAATAAATATATATTGAAGCCTTAGAAGTGTGAATCGTGCCTACTGCTTATTGATTTTGGTGTACACATTAGAGAGAATGAGCCTGGTGTCTGAGAAATAACTGAAACTTGGATTATATTATTGTGGGGACTGAGTGAAAAGAGTTGAGAAGGAACTGTTTGGTTCTAGTGTGTGCTTTCTGCCCAGTGGGGTCCCAGTTTTTGTACTGCATGTACTCTGATCTGAAGTGTGTCCACTTTTATCTCTTTTCTTTTTTTTTTTTTTTTTACCCCTGCATGAGCATCTGCACAGACTTAGTGTCATTAACAAATAGTGAACTCCATCACTTTTCTGTGATGGGATCCTATATTCATAAGTATGGTAATTTTCTTCTTGCAACTGTCATCTAGACTAGTCATCTAATATTGGTGAATGAAATAAAATGTTACAAAAGCTAATATACCATGCAAGTGGTCCAGCTAAGAAACTGTGTAAAATATGTCTTATTGTTTACTCCTTACCAAATACGTATAAAAATGTTTATCACGGAAGATGCATTTTTTATTTAAATGCTGTCAACATCAAAATATGAATATTAAATTAGTGAGAAAAATATAAAGATTCATTGAGATTTATACAGGGGATGTTTTCATGTTAGAGAAACATTTCTTTTGTTAAGAGACTATTTGCATTCATGAGAACTGAAAATTGAGAATGAATAAGATTTGTTTCTGTGCAGACTTGCTAATTAATGTTGGTTTAGCTCTCCCAAATGGTAGGATGTGTAAGTATTTAAAATGTTGATGCAGACAATTTTTGAGACAAATTAGAGTCTGGTATTCATCCCTGTATACAGCTTCATTCTTCTCTGTCATAGCATAATGCCATGTAGAATTCCTGGAGTCTCCAATGCTAAATTTTAAGTTTTATCAGTGGAAAGATAACAAAATCCATTTATCTGCAGAAAGGGAGATTTTGCAAGAAGGACTTACTGACAAATAGCACCTGTTGTTGGTTTGGGTTTTTTATCTTGAGTAGGTGAAGGAGGGAGGAACTTAAGGGGAACATGTTATTTTTAGAGGTTGCCTTTAGAATACTCTTGGCCACTCAGCAGACTGTCTTACTTGATGCTTAAGAAGGCTAAAATTATGATAAGTAGATGCTTTGTTGTTTTTTAATATTTTTACAGTGAAATTTATAGAGCCACTGAAATTCCATTTTGCATGTCTTTCCCTCAGAGAATGCGTGTTGTGGAGTCTTGTGCCTTTAACAAAAATTACAGGGAAACTGAATCCTTAATACAAGCTTCATTTGTCCAAGTTGATAAGTAGGCATTGTGTTTGCATATCACTAGATTTTTTTTCCCAAAACAATTATAATATATGCCTAGATTGCTTTTTGTTTTAAAAATTCCTTTCTGTCATTGCACATTCTCTCCTGTGGTACAATGTATTTAAAGAAAAGGAATATAAAAAATGGATGGCATCCTGATGACGACCAAGTAATCTAGCTGCCCTGTCTGGATTCTTCTTGGGGCAGAGGCTCTTTAGAACAGCTCCGTGTGAGAAGCACATAAAGTTAATTGCAACGTTTTCAAGTTCAGAACATATCTGTACAAAATAAAGGAAGTAAAAAACGGTATTCAACAAACCAGGAGGACACAATATGTGGAAATCAGTTAGTGGCATCATACAGGGCATTATTGCTGATTCCTTCTGTGGACGTTTTGACTGAAGCATGACCATGTAGTGGAATGAAACTGTAGATTCCCCTTTAAATATTTGCAATATTTTTATTCAGATTTGCAATAAATTATATGACTAATCCGTGCTCTTTCTTTATTGCTTTATGATTATCACTTGCACTGCACATCTTGGCTGCTCTTAACACTTTCAAGGCCCTGATATATAGCTAAACATTTCTGACTCCATCTGGTACAAAGAGAAGTGACACAGAAGTGTTCCCCAGCCAGTTTATTGCAATTTAATGTAAATCTGTTATAATGCAGTTGATGAACAATGCAGTGGCTTCCATGAATTCTGAAAGCTGTGAATGGGTTGCAGCTTCTGCAGTGCCCTCTGAAGATTTGCTGGGTTTAATTTTATATTGCATGGCCATTAGCTGAAAAAGGTTCCTCACTGTATCACATTGCCACAATACTTCTCCATTGGCTTCTTCCTTTCCCTCACAGTGACTTCATTCACCCAAATTTTCCATCTCAGTCTTCTGTTGCTTTTATCTTATAAATTACAGCCTCCTAATACATCAAAACAGATAAAGTCATGCGATGGACCCCCATAATGTATGATTTTGTTAACTCTTGTGTATGGGAATGCAATAATATCCTTTCAAATCTTCTGTGTGCTCTCTGTGATTCTCGCTGTTTTCTGTGTCCAGAAACTGAACCGAAGCATGGCAGCAGTGTCTACAGGCCTTATACATGGACACATAAGCCTTGCGTGCTCATGTTCAGTAAAACTTTGTCTACATCTTTCCCAGTATGTTTGCTGTGTAAATATTGTTTTTTCTGCTCAACATTTTGAATTCTAGTTTCTGCAGACTGTCAAATGAACCTCCAGGTAGAGAACAGATTCATCTTACATAGGTGCACTCAGAGCGCACCTTTCATCCCTCTGTTGCCCTTGCAGCAGGTGTGATCTTGTTGCCATCATGTTCAAAAGCTGCCTTAAATGCGTACTTTGCTTGTTCCTGTTGATGGTATTTGTAGACAGGAATTGGGCGATCAGATTCTGCCATAGAATCATAGAATGGTTTAGATTGGAAAGGACCTTGAAGATCATCGAATTCTAACCCCCTGCCATAGGCAGGGACACCTCCCTCTAGAGCAGGTTGCTCAAAGCCCCATCCAACCTGGTCTTGAAGACTTCCAGGGATGGGGCATCCAGAACTTCTCTGGGCAGCTTGTTGCAGTGCCTCATCACCCTCAGAGTGAAAAATTTCTTTCTAATATCTACAACCCTCTTCCAGTTTGAAGCCATTCCCCCTCATCCTATCACTACATGCCCGCGTAAAAATTGCCTCCCAAGCTTTCCTGTAGGTCCCCTTTAGGTACTACAGCCTCAACTCTCTCAGCCTCTCCTCATAGGGGAGGTGTTCCAGCCCTCTGATCATCTTTGTGGCCCTCTTCTGGACCCGCTCCAACAGGTCCATGTCTTTCCTATGTTGGGGGCTCCAGAGCTGGACACAGTACTCCAGGTGGGGTCTCACCAGCGTAGAGGGGAAGAATCACCTCCCTTGACCTGATAGGCACACTTCTGATGCAGCCCAGTATGTGGTTGGCTTTCTGGGCTGCGATCGCACATTGCCGGGTCATGTTGAGCTTGTCATCAATCAGCACCCCCAAGTCCTTCTCCTCAGGGCTGCTCTTGATTCATTCTCCACTGAGCCTGTATTTGTGCTTGGGATTGCCCCAACCCAGGTGTAGGACCTTTCACTTGGCCTTGTTGAACTTCATGAGGTTGGCATGGACCCACCTCTCCAGCCTGTCCAGGTCCCTCTGGATGGCATCTCCCCATCCAGCATTAAGTGTTACTATATACTTATGTAGGCCCTTAGGCAAATAATTTTCCTCCCCTCTGTTTTCTGTATATATTGCTGTTTAGAGGGATACAATTACATTCAGTAGGGTAATTAAACTGTGGCAAATTAGGTAAAGCTAGAATGTAATTAAAGTGCGGTAAAAACACCTGTAAATGATCATTGTTCCATTCCCTCAGGGAAAAATTAAAAATAACCTTTACAATAGAGTATCATACCTAGAATCTTTACATATGCCAAGTAACATGTTTTGTCCTTAAGTAATTTGTCTAGAAGTAATTGACTGCAGTACCTAAACAATAGCTAAAACTGAGGGGAACATCATATTTCTTAAAAGTTTTTTTCCTGCAGACTGGGGAGTTACTCAGGGAAAAGTTGTTGTCTTTCTGTGGTTACATTAACCAGTCCAACCAACTGGATAGGTTAGAGGTGGAAAGCAAAGGCTAATTAGATACAGGCTTCAGATCTGTTACATTGTTAACAATGGAGGTCATCTTATCCGAGATAATAATACCTCATTTTGTAAATTTGTGAACCTGGAATAAGGGAGAATGTTGTGCTGCTTTCACCAACTATTTAGTCTAAAATATTTAAGGTTAGAGTGTGAGTTCTGTTGCACAGGAATGATTTAAAATTAATGCACAATACACATAACCTGTAGTGATCATCTTCACAATAAACTTTGTGTGAGGTGGCTGTCAACGGCATTTTCACTTTGTGTATTTGTCATGTGTCTAGAGCTCTGATGATTTTGAATGGAGACTTTGGTATGGATGTTTACATAAAAACCTTCATTCCAAATACAAATAAAATTTAAAAGTGATGGATGTTTTTTGAAACTTAAAAAAAAAGCTGGTTGGTTGGCGTTTTTTTGAGCAAAACTGATTCATTTCCAACCTCTTCTAAAAGAAACTCTCAAAACTTCTGAAATACAAATTTATTGAAACAAAATGATCCCGTCACCCATCTCCTTGTGTTCCTGCAATAAGGTGACTACTGTAAAAATACTTTCACATAAAGCTTTCTAAAGTGTTTTTACTTCATCCTATAAGAGAAGATATGTATTTTTTATTAAAGCCAATTCTTAATTTTAGTAATTTATTTTCTTTCTTCTTTTCATTATAGAGAAAGTCCATTGTTGCTGTGAGTTTCATTGCAGCATTCCTCTGTCTGATCATCGTTCGTCTCTCCAATGAAGTAACTTTCCCTTTGATCCTAAACTGCTTTGGGCAAACCAGTGTCAAGTGGATACCATTTTCTAATGGCCAAAGGCAGCCTCTAAGAACTCATTATGGATATATAAATGTGAAAACACAAGAGGTAAGACCTGGTATCAAGAGCACAGCAAAATGGACTGGTAGAATTCTCTTTCTCTGACCACATAAATGCTTTTCTACCAACCTGCCCAGAATAAAAACTCAAGCAAGCAATGTTTCTGGGCAAAATCTCTTTTAAAAGTGTGCTACCATTTAAATGATCATTGCACATTTTTAATTTCTGTCATGTCTGCAGTGGAGAGAACACTGACCTGGCCTCAAAATCATGCTTGGTTACAGTGAAAACTGATATTTATACAAGCAGGAGAATTTTTCAGATTAATTTCAAACCTTCCCTCCCTTTAACTCGAAAGGAAATTTTCATGTGTGTGTTTGTGATAAAGTCCTAAAAAATGTTTAATTCTGCCTGAGATACCTGTGGAAGAAGTAGTTTATATTGTGTTTGTATGTGCATAGAAAAGGAAAAGGGAATGATTTGTGAAATGGACGTATGTGAGTGTAGAAAAGTTACAGAGCTAGAGGCTTACTGGATTTTTCTGAAACTATTACATTACCACTTGGTAGCTATTTGACAGCCAGGTATGTATTTCCAGTCTGTATTTTTAAATGCTTTGGCCTGTATCTGCTTTGCAAAATACTTGATGTGTGATAAAAATGCTTGCATGATAAAATTATATTTTACAGGGACTCCTGCTTTAAACTGTCTTAGTCGGCAGAGTATCTGATGACATTGTTGGGTCTTGGTGTAGTGGTGCTTTTCCCCAGACTCTTTGTCTCTCTCTCTCTCTCTGTACTATTTATAACAGATGCAAACTTGCAAAATAAGCTAACATAAAAAAAATAACTCTTTCTAAAAGATGTTCCTGATCAGTTATAGCACTGTCAGTCATGAGAAATACTATCAGACTTCCATTTACTCATACTTATTCTTCTTTATAAAATTTGCAATCATTATATTCATGAATGAAATTCCTTCACATAACAGCTTTTCTAGACAATGAAAATACTTTACCACTTGATGATATTCAGTCCTATAAGTGTATTGGACAAGTTAATTATTATTTTACCTTTTGAGTGTTAAATGTGAAAATCAGAATGAGAGAGGGTTATAGTTTTTAGGAGGCAGCTTCTCTTAAACTTCTGTATCTTTTAATTGTTGTCCATGTAAGATGCAGCACTGAGTATACTGGAAGCCGTAGTAGAGCAGAAAAAGGACAAGCAAAAGGAAAGGAATCCCTTTGAGTCAGGGTGTGAATTCTAGTCCCAGTGAAATGAATGGGAGCTGCTGTTGAGTTCAAAAGGGCTAAGGCTGCATTCAGCATATCTTAAATACAAAAGGACCAGGAACCCACCAAAAATGAGAGGGCAGCGTGTTCTGCGTGTCCCTGGGTTATTGCCATAGTGGCAGGCATGGAATCTGAATGAGGTAGAGCTGCCACGGTCACTTGATCACTATCAGTCTGAACTGATAACTGGAGAGGAGAGGAGCATGCTAATCCATTTTTATTCATCATCGCCTTCATCAGAGGTTAGATGTAGCTTGTGGGAGCCTTAATTCATTCTTAAATTTGATAACACGCTTGGAAGTTCTAACAGTAAATGGAACTGAATGTCCTGCAAGTTGATGACCAGTATCGATTAGTAAGACATTTGTCTCAATTTAGCTTAGGTCATGAAGGACTCCTTAAACTTAGTAAATTTAATTGTTTTCCACCTTGTATTTGCAGATTACATTAATATTTGATAATTAAAATGATAATGAAGAAACTGAACATGCCTTGCTAATTGTGAATGCACTATCCTCTGACTTAATTATTCCCTGTGCAAGGGAAATTTTATTGTGCTGCCCATGTGAAAAGCTTTGACACAGCTCATGTTCCTAACTCACTCGTAGCTTTCTCAGACTACAATTTTTATAACACAGATTGCTTTATAAAATATGCATTTGTATACTATTGGTATTAAAATGGCCAGAAATCCTCAATTGTTCATAGAGATTAAAACCACCGATCTTTCATTTCTGTAAGCACCAAATACCTTGAATTTCTGCTCATTGCATAGAATTAAGATATTCTTTTCTATTTTTTTATGCTAGTATGGAGTGTAAGATAAGCAGAAGGTCCAGTCTGTGAGTGCAGCTAATGCCCTAAAAAAATGTGGCCAAGGTTTTTGCAAAATGGGACACATGCCATCTCATCAATGGGTGAGGACCAAAAGATGAGGAAACTGTACCATAATGAATTATCAGAAAACTATGTCATGGAAAGGAAGATGGCTGAGAAGGCTTTTAAAGACGATTTTTGGCTTTCTCTTTTGTTGAGAGAATCTATGCACACCTGTTGAGTGTGTTCATAGTCTTATAGGGTGTCCTTTGAAGCTTATCACCCCACTGGGTCCTACACGTCTGCTGCTATCCAATATCACTCCCTCCCGTTCCTCAGCCACTTCCAACATCCTTCCTTTTTTCTTCACCTTTTTTCTCTGTTCTCCTTTACGTGTTCCTCTCGGGCTCCACTCTGAGGCCTGGCTGCATGCAGCATGCCAGTGCTCTCTAATCCCAATTTCTCAGTGTACTTTAATAGCACGTATACAAGGTCAACCAAAGAGAGTAATTAGAGTAATTTACCACCAACATGGTCAGTCATCTGATGTGACAGGGAAGCTAGAAAATCTAGATGAGCTCTACATTTCCTGTCCCTCTCTCACGTGCTTACTTTTTGAGGAAAAATGAAAAAAAAAACCAACCCAAGACTTTAATCCAGCTGATTTCTTTTGAGTTAAGGCTGAGTGGAGTGAGACTTGAAAACCTTATGAGATGATGGAAGATCTCCTTCCAAATTTCCTTTGGTGGTTAAGGCTGAAGTGATCAATGATTTGTATTAAAGAAGAGCAGCGAATATGATGATATGAACATCTGTGTTTATGCCAAGTAAAAAACAGTGACGAGTGTATTATTAGGTATGATCAAAATAATGTAGTAAAGATATATTTCAAGGGCGTTGTGTATTTGACTTGACGGTATAACACTATAGAATTTTTATTATTAAAAAGTCTAAAAAAAATAAGCTTACTAGAACTAGGTTGCATGGGAATATTTAATATAAAATGCAAACAGAGACATAACTTAATCCCTAATTAAGGCTATACATAATACAGAGTTGTTGCTATGGTTTCCTTGATTTGTAGCTATAGCAACAGCTTTGGAAAAACTGCCTTTATATACAGTAAACATACTATATTTAAAGTATAAATAGTTGTGAAGTGGTGTATTATACTGGCCCATTATGTCTAGACACATTTCAGTTTGAATTTTGAGATATTTCTGAAATAGACAATTCCTCACCTAGAAAATTAGTATCTAGTTAGTGCCCACCCTCCCTCACCTCAAGAGAAGAGAATCCCTTAGTACTCCTCCACAATGTGATCTCTTTTCCCTTTTCAATGTCCACATCTGAGGGAAATCCCCACGATTCGCAAGAGACTGGCTGCCTGTTTTGCAATATTGTTCTCTCTCTCAAGCACGTGAATTTTCACCTTTCGGTGAAAAGGAACGGTATGGGCAAGATGACATTTCTGTCCCTTACTTCCTCCTCTTTGTACCTATGGATTTTTGGTGATAGGTCCCATGAAATCCATCTTTAATAAACATCACGCCTATCACATGTTCGTTCCTTTTATCCTGTTCCTGGTATTTTTTTCATAGAAAATATTACTTTGATATAACTCCACAGTGGTTACCTAATTGAAACCTACTGTAATTTGAGTAAATTTCACCCCCCCACACCCAAAGCTGATGTAATGATTCTTCTTGTGTATCAAAAATGGGCAAGCAGATAAAAAGAAGCGGGTATAGAAAATATAACCTTCCTCCTTCTTTCGTACCCCTCCTACTCTACAAAGAGTTCTGGCAAAATTAATGAACATCATGTATTTAAATTGCAGCATTATGACATCAATTTAAAACCCATTAGCAGTTTGAAACTTTATGCTAGGCAAGTCTAATAGTGTTCTTGGATATTTGATTGTGCTTCCTGAAAGGTGAATATTGAATAGATTTTTACTCTACCGTCAGTATTAAAATAATATAGCATTTTCCTACATACGTAAAATCTGAAATATAGCTGCAATAACACTTGAAACATAATTATAAGAAGTATATTCAAGTTCTGTACAAAGATTAAAACTGTTCTTGGAAAAGGGTAAGTTCTGAGATGACCTAAAATCCCTACATTAAACTGCAACTGTGAGATCTAATGGCTTCATCTAAAATGAATTCTGAGGGAGAGAAGAGCCTTTGTGTCATGAACATTGAAGAATCTCACAGTATAGTAAGGAGCACTAGATAAAAGGAACATGCATTGTAGCAGTTAAATTTTTTTTTAATCCTATTGTAACTGAAAAACTCATCAATATTGCATTCATGATGAAGAAATAAATTTGGATTCTATTATCACATACCATTTTGTCCCATAACCTGAACAAACTAGTATACAAGCATTAATTGCTTGCCTGTTGTGGCACACACAGCCACATATAAGTGTGAACATACAGCATAAGTCTAGTTTCTTTTTTTTTAATTTTTGCCAGAAGTTCTGTGGCAGAACTCAGCTGAAATAAGTGGAGGTTTCCACAAATGAAATATCACAGATATGAATAAAAATAGGGGGAAGCTACAGACCTTATACATACTTGTGTAGTCTTTGTTGGTTTTTTTTTAAATAGAATAAAGTAATTGCATTAAAAAACAACAGAACCGGAAATATAGAGGAAAACTAACGTAACATGCAGAAATATAAGCTACATGATGTGCTATCTGACTGTAAGATAAGGCATATGCCATTTCAACAATAGCAAAAGCATAGTTGTCAAACATGTTAGGAGTAATCGTAGGAAGGACCCATACCAATCATGAGAGACCATGTTCTTATAAAACTTGAATAACTAAATTAAAAAATGCGCAAAGAATGTGATGGATGTTTTAATATTAGTTTCTTTCCAGATATGGGAAGGAAGAAAAAATTTTAAAAGGACTGAATTTTTATA